CGCTCATCTTACACGTTAGTAACTGGATGCCCTCTAGCGAGGCTGTCACGTTCTCGGATCTATTAGTTCTTTACTCCCTTAGAGAGAGAAAAGACTTCTACACTTTTCCTTAATGTAAAAATTTAGAAGTGCATCCTGTAGTTAAGCAGAGTGTGCAATGCCCACTGAAAGCAGAATTTTATGCCTGCTCAGCCGAGACTTTCACAGAAACTTCGGGCTGTAGCGAAGGGGCAGTCCTGGCCTTCTGTTCACTGGAGCCATTCAGAGAGGCGTGTGCCTAATCGCCCTGGGCATTGGCGTACAGTATTGTTGTTTGGTGCGACTGTCTGCTCATAGCTACGCTATCTATATCGAAGTATATGACAAAACGGAAGCTATCTTTGTGGAATTATCCTCATAGGGTTTCTTTCCTCAAGTGTCAAGGATCATCCCAGCCTGTACACCGAGCAGCTTGTTTGCTCCCCTGTGCCAGGAGGCACACGGGTTGTACCTGCCCGGTCACTCATGTTGAAGGATGTCTGAAGAACATCCCTAACTATCTGACTGTTTGCTCTCCCTGTCTGATTTTTGTAAAATGTGTCAGAGAGCTATGGTAGTTTCTGTTAGCATATGTAACTAGGTTTTGAAACAACGCTTGTGTTTTGAAGCATCTCAGGAGCAGTATTTTTCTCATCTTCATTCGTTTTTGTCTGTGTAAGAAACAAAAATAATTTTCAAACAAATTGTAGCAGGGAGAGTAAATTCTGAGTGAGCGGACGGGCACTGGCAACAACACCTGGATGCAGTCTCAATGGTCCTGATTTGGCTTTAACACTGATATTTTGGGAGACTGGATGATGTCTGCAAAAAATGCACTACCTAAAGGCAATACATTGTGCCGATACACTTGCAAAGATTGCCAAATGTACCAGCCAGGGCACGGAATAGATTTAAGTAGTATGGTACTGTAGAATTTTTGTTGGGGTAGCAGAAAGACTTAACCCATGTCAGAAAATGTGTTCTGCCAGCGTTTCCATGTGTCAAATGTGGCAATGATGAATTCAGGCCCAGAGCACTTTCTACTGCCTGAGTCTTTCTCAAAATCCACTTATGCTATCCAGGGGTGTTTAAAAGCAGATGTAGTGTGGCAATATTTGATTTATATGAACTCAGTGAGGAGGTTTCAAGGAAATTAATACTTAACATTTGAAATATGTGGTATGACTTCACCAGGCAGTTTGCAGGACGTGGGATTTATTCTTCAAAACTGTAAATGACCAATTTAAATATTTTAATATTAAATGCCTCATCAGTTTATTGAAATATTTATGCTCTGTTAGTAGGACTCTTGGCATACGGAAGTACACAAAGCGTTTCTTCTGTTGCTTTCCCCCCATCCTCTTTCAAATACCAAGATTAGGCTTACCTGAGAAGAAGCCATTATTTTTCTGCAACATTAGAAGTTGACCCTGTGCTTATTGCTCTGAACAAACTCACACTTAGGGAAGTGAGAGCGTTGTTACCAGTTAACGGCATGAGCACCTCAAGCAATGCAAGATGACTCCAGTCTTTTGCAATCACCTGTGCCCGGCCAGCCTGCTGTTTTACACACATTTGGCACAGGTATGACTGCAAAGAAGCAAATGGCCTTTGAGATTGCTGCCTTCATCTGCTTTTCACTGTGATGTAGTGAGAAAGCGCAACAGTCCAGTGCCTCAAGTTGCCAGCTCAGTTTACTTAAAACATCTTTGCACACTAGATGGTTGCATTTTGTTTTGGTTTGTTTTTTTTTCTGAAGTCCCACAGTAAAGCCAACTGAAGATTTGCTTTACTGTGGGACTGGTAGGATTGTGGGAGTGTACTGTGGGGCTGAGAGATGATAAAGAACTTAAAGTTGCACAGGGGAGATAAAAGCAAAGGTTAGTTTAAAATTGCCATGCAATTTTCGTATTTTGGAATATGACTTGTAAGTAATTTTTTTCTCTTGAACTATTTTGTATTTTATTAAAAGCCCAGTACATTTTCATTTTAAAATATTTTTCATTGGAAGTAATTTGCAATATTATCTCCCAAGCAGCTATTGCCCTTATCAATGCTTTGATATTTAGGTGCTTGCCAAATACAAATTGCAGTTCCACTTTCCTTTTTCTACAGTATCTGACTAGCACGAACGCTCAAACTGAAAACCAGGCTTCGCTGATGTCACAGAAGGAAGGATCTCAGCTGGATGCACATACTGCAGCATCTGAATTGCAGCCATCTGAGGGGAATTTGCAAATGCCAGGTAAGAACCCAGCCTCCCTGTAGGCATGAAGGGGAAAAGGGATGCTAAGGATGAGGTTCACAGCCATCTGCTGCCCCTGGAGCTGCCCAGATCAGCCTGTAGGGAACATTAAGCAGGGTTGGGACCGAAGCCTTCCCCTCTGCATCAGGTGCCAGTTGGTACGTGCTCACACTGATGACCACTTGGATTCGGGTGCCTTGAGGCATGGGACCTTTCATGCAAGGCAACCCAAACTCTGCTTTCCCTCCTTTTTGGTGCTTTAGTGCAAAGGAGTTGAATACCAAGTCTCCTGGAAGTGCCCCAGCTCTTATTTTTGAGAATAGAGTGAATGGGAAGAGGAGGAGAGGGGTGCAAGTGATCTGTCTTCTCTAGTGAAACCCCTCCATTTAGGGTAAGCTACTCGAGTAGGCACTAGAACAGAGCCCAGGAAAAATGTCTGAACCTTCCCAGTTCATTGATCTAAGTCACTTTCTTCAGCACAGTAAAAGGATGAAATTCCTGAACGGGCAGTTGAGCACCTGTTCCTCACACAAACCTAACTCTGAGTTCTGCCATTGGCTTCAATCAGGCTCCTTTTCATCTACCGAGTATAGAAATGTATAAGATAAAATTCTAGAAGGGACAGGAAGGATTCACAAGGGCACCGAAAATAATTCATGCAGAACCACAGCACTGCTGTGGGCTGCTGTCGATACCGTCGTCATACTCGGTGCGTGGCTGAAGAGGGGACAAGATGTCCCTATCATGCGAACTAAAGCAGCATGAGACACTTGTTCTATTATGTTAACACTTGCAAGTTTTCTGCTAATTCAGCCACTGCTCAACATTCCAGAAATTAATGGGCAAGCCAGAAATAACATTTCATCATTGTAGTGTATGTGGTAGGTATGATTGTGTGTCTTTTTCCTACCTTCAGAAGTCAGGTAATGGGATTAGAACAGGAAGAGAGAAGTGACATGCATCATAGGTAAACAACAGTCATCAATCTCTTCCTGTGGCGGCATTAAAAAAAGTACAGTCACTCTAATAGGCTCTGGGATTCCCCATAATCAACTCGAACTTCAAATTTCCCTTTCTGAATATAAGTGGTTAGTACTAGAAACTTTTAATCAGCATAGTGGCATAGGGAGAGGAATTATGTGATAGACTACTGCACCCAAGAATTTCTCTCTTAGAAAGAAAAGATAAAGAAAAGCGACAATGTACGTGGTGAACCATTTAACACTTCAAAATTATTTTTGAAAATTTAGTTTTCATAGGAAGCACACCAAGTTATAAAGCACACAAAGTCCTTAACTTGCAAAACAGTTTTATTTCACACTTATACAAAGTTAATAGACATTTTAAAACGCTTACAGTACTGTAGGTTACATCTACTGCCACTGAATATGTTAATAGGGGACTTCACAGGTCTCCTGAGTTTTCCAGGGTCCTACACAATCCCTGTTGTCCCACAGGTTTAAGCCTACTTCTGTACAGGTTAGAGAGGGTCTATTTAGAGTTGTTCAGAGTACAAAACTCGGAGGACTGAGGCAGAATGTGCCAGTTCCACATCTGCATGCTGAGAAGAAGATACGTAAATGAACACTTCTCCTTTCCGCTCCTGAAACTAATTCTCCCCCTGCTGGGCCCTCACAGCTCGTGAGAGCTGAAGCAGCTGTTGTGAGGAGCTAATCCAGGAGCTGGTTCTTCCTTTCTTCTACAAACCTCCTTAGTGCTGTCAAGCAGCAGAAGCTGTCTGAGGAAAGAGGGATCTAACAGATACTGGTGAAATACTGTTCTTTCCCTCTTCTTCCCATTGAACCCTTCTGACATTTTGCTACCTACTGGCCACTTCACTGTGAGCAGTAACAAACCCTCCTTCAGGTGCCTTATTAGAGATAGATGTGATTTAGGATTATACCATTTCCCTGCAGTTTTGAAGCTGATTATCTAATCAGGACCCAAGGATAAACCCTCCTGCAGAACCACATATCAGATGTCATGTTGTGTATCACTGCTCTGTCGCCATAATACAGAAGGAAACGTGGCTCTCCAGTAAGTCCTACATTGACAGTATATGCAAGAAATATTCAAGAAAATGAAGGTACTCCTAAAAAAAAACCAACCCAAACCTGTGATATCTGAAATGAATTTGGATTGCATGGATCTAAATATATTCAGTGTTCCACAGGTGTCCAAGGTGAGCTATTTTTTTCACTTCAGATGCGAGTCCTCCCTGCAACTTGACTGTAAACAGCCACAGACAAAATTTACACTAGTGCACCATAAAACTGAACTTTTTAGGTACCTAAAATCCCAGCATAACAGCAGCTCTGTAATGTCTTGGGAGTAAGAACAATGGCACAAGATGTTTGCTGGTTATACAATAAACTTCGATAATCCAAGCAGGTTACATTCCAGTAAACTAGGTTTCAGATAAACGGAAGAACATCTACTGATGGCACACAGCTCCAAATGAAGAACCAAACCTGGTTATCTACATTTGCTTTCCATTAGGTCCAAAAACAACTTGCCAGGGGAAAACAGTGTTTCATACAGAAATAAAGACAGATATGCAATTGGTTTTAGAGTCTTTCATGGAAATAAACAAAAGGAGACAAATATCAAAAGATAACCTAAAAGCCTTAAAAGGAATAAAAATACTGTGCTTGTACCTTCATTCTGTAGCCTTAGGAAAGTCAGAAGTGGCCTCTCCCAGCAGCAGTGGGAATCTTCACATCTCAAGTGAAATATCTTTTAGTTAAGTAGTTGAAACACAGCATTCTTTATCCAAAATGGCAATCAATACATTGTCGAGGGGGAGGGGAAGCGACCCTGCCTTGCAGGTTCAGTTCATCCTTCCTTTTCACTTCTGCAGTATCTTATTTCAGCAGTTCTGGGTACTGAAGCCCCCCTTCCCCAATTAACTTTGCTGAAAAAGAAGAATGAACCAAAAATCTGTCCTTTCAGACTTTCTTTATATGGCAGAAAATATGCAGGAGACACAAGCCCAGTTTTTAAGTCTTTTCCAGGTTATCTTTTGGAGCAGCTGTATAGCAAGGCAACAAATATTAATATAAGCTAGTTTTCTTCATGATTCTTAGAAATTCTTGCTCACTTACTTCTCCATCTCCATCTCGATCAGCTTCATCAATCATTTCCTACAAAACACATTGTACATTTGATCAGGCACTGGACTCTAAACACAAGATCTTCCATTCATTAAAACAACAACAACAAATCCAGAAGCACTTCATGTGAAAATGTAACTATGTATTTGATTGCTCTTGGTATTTCTGACCTCTCAGCCCTCTTTGTATAGGCATAAATTTCCACCCAATCCTTAGGAGCTACAGGATTGGTCTGTGCCTGTCAGAAAAGCTATGGCAAGTCAGAATTTACCTGAAGTTCTTCATCTGTTAAATTTTCTCCCAGCTCCTTGGCAACCCTTTTCAAGTTTTTGAATGAAATTTTTCCTGTCCCATCATCATCAAATAATCTGAAAGCTTTCAAGATTTCTTCTTTTGAATCCTTTTCACCCTAAAACAAGAGTAAACCATACATTAATTAGAAAACACCTGCCACCAAGATATTCCTTTTCAGTATTTTTTTACGCTGCCACAAGAATTTCTATTAAGAATTCCTACCATTTTCTGTGTCATCATAGCCAAAAAGTCTTCAAAGTCAATGGTGCCGCTTCCTTCTTTGTCAATATCTGCTATCATTTTCTTAATTTCTTCCTTCTTTGGCTCAAAGCCTAAAGCACGCATCGCAACCTGCACCAAAAAGCAATTCTGTTAGGAGGCCACCAGAATTATAGTGTCAGCAGCTGCACTAAAGCTTGTTTGATTTCCTCGTCCAAAACTAGTAATAACTCACTGCAGTGAAAACATCCTGATATCTCTTACCAGCTTGTTTCATCTTTAGATCCATGTGGAACATGGATATATTTCTGAAACTGAGAGAAACTTTTTGTGTCTCAATTAGCTAAAGGTTCCAATCTTCATAGTTCCTAAAGTGACTAGATTATCAAAATGGGACTTCAAGGGAGATTGGAGACCAGGGATGTGATCTCTCTCCATTTGAAATTAAGGGCAGAATGCCCATTAATTTTGATGGGTGCAGAATTACATGCAGTTAAACTCACACAGTCCAGTACACAGAGATAGAAGAAATCTATACGTGTAGCTCTTGGTGCTTCTGGCTAGGTGGTGGGGAGGGGGGAGCGGGAGGGGGTGGGAACTGACAATATTCCCTAAGTGTCTCAGCCTCAGCAAAGCAAAGACTGACTGCTGTGCTAGTTGAGAAAAAGAAAAGCAAACCTTCTGAGCCTTACAGAGCACAAGCAAAGTATTACTGTAAAAACAGTTGTGTAGATTGTTGTACAAATGCTTAATATTAACATTGTTTAAAACCAGGCTCTGGCATTTCATCAGCCTAGAACAATGATTTTCCTACTTGGGTGTTTAATAGTAATTTCACAATCCTGGTGTGCCAGATGATTACAGCATATTTAACTCAGAGACTGAAGCTTCAAGAACACATAACTAGAGGAAGATTCAAACTGTGAACATTTGTTCTTCCTATATGCTCTAGTGGAAATCAATAGTTAATATTAGGCAGAAATTTTCTTGCTAAACACTCTTCTACTGGAAAGTGCCAACTCGCCAGAAACTTAACACTTAAGTGAAGTGTGTTTTCTGACCAGTTTCTTGCGATGGGACAACTGAAAATGTTCCATTTTGCCTTTCAGAGGGGAACACCTTCTATGATAAATATCCATTATTTTGAATTAATTTTGAAAAAAAAACCCCATAGCATTAAATGGTTGATGCTAAAATGTTTCAGTCCATTTTAAGAACTGTATTTTAACATGTATAATCTGCATTCATGCTGTCCTTAACTAAGCATAAGTACTTCCAAATAAATCCTGAGATAAGCCACAGGCTTAGGCAACTCATGCTTCTAGGTTGCATACATGGAAATTGAGGCACAGTGTGTATATGTGAGAAGTCAAGGTCAAGGAGATAATTAAGATAAAAGGTTCATGCTTAAAAAAAAATCAGACACATAATAACATAGGGAGAGAACTGAGAATAATCTTCCCCCTTGTAGTACTGTGTGTATGCATGTGCATGTACACACGCGCACCACTACCTGAACTGCTACTGAAATGCAATTCAGATCTGTTTTCCTCTTTTTTAAATTAAAAAAGAGGTAATTTTTGGATTACGTATATGAAAATATGGTTGTTTCTTTCCTGAATGGGTGCAAAATCTATGTTTAGTTCTGAGATGAAGAAAAAATTTGATATTCTGACATTCATCCCAAAACAACAAAAAAGTCCACTTCCCAGAAACAATGACCTTAGCCAGTCATGAAAACTGAAATGTGTTCTGTGTGTACCTAAACAGAGGAACTGTTTAGTTCCTCTAATGCTCAGATATTCAAAGCTATCTGACCTACTATCCATGTATTGAGAAGCCTGTCTGCTCTGAAGTATTATATACAGAGCTTTCTCAAGTTAACCATGTAGTACACCCCAAATTCAGTCATGACTGCAAGCTGTTATTCTTGTTTGTACTCCAAAACTATTTTAAAATCGTTAGGGCTGGACAAACAGAAAAAACAGTTACAATTTTGAGATCAAAGCTATTTACATCCAAGAAAAAGAAGTTTGAAAACCTTCAGTTCTTTTATGTCGATGCTTCCAGATCCGTCAGTATCAAACAAATCAAAAGCTTCTCTGATTTCCTGCTTTTGCTCTTCTGTAAGTTCAGGTTTCAAGCCACTTTTCTTCCGCTGGGCTGTACTTAAGCCAGGTTTTCTATAGTTGGATGCCTTCAGAAAGTGAAGGAGAGAAAAGATAAGAAATAGCCCACTCTGGGGAAAATTCAAAACACAACTAAATTATAAGTAACAACAGTAAAGCTGTAGCAGAAGTGAGAGACATTCTTTGCTGCAAGTGGTAGACACTAGGTCTCTGTTCTCATTTTCTTAGGTTATTCTAGAAGGAAAACAAGCTGAAGATTAAACAGAAGGATCATCAATTGATGGAGTAATGCCAGAAAAACAGGCAGGCAGTCTGAAAATGAACACTCCACTGAGGTAACTAAGACCCTCTGCACCTCCTGCCGGTTGCTCTGATGTGTCAGGAGTGGTTTCACCTGGAAAACATGAGTAAATCATCCTCACAGCTAAAAAGGCTGGTTGTACAGGGTCTTGACTGTAAGTGGGACTCAAATTCAGCCACTCCTCAAAGTCAGCACTGAAATGGGGTGTCTGAGAGCATCTGCTCTGTTGGAGCAAAGTTTAGAGGGAGCTGTGTAGCTCTAGCCTGCCATCCACCAACTAGCTGTGGTGCTAGGTAACAACATGCCATGGTAGCAGTGAGATCAACACAAAATCCATCCCATAAGGAGAACTAATCTGCTTGTGCTGAGCTGGTGCATTATTATCCAGGACACTTCTGAGACCTTTCCTGCTTCTGGTGTAAGCTAGTGCAGTACAGAGTGTTTCCCCACCACCACCCGCCTATTGAGCAGGAAAGATGTTCTCCTCGAGTATAGGTTTTCTTCTAAACCAGCAGCAGACAGATTTTAGTCCGTTAGTCTTGAATCTGCACAAATTCATGGAAGGAAGGGCAGTCCCTCCCACCCCCAACTTTTAACTGGTTGGGCTTTATAAAAGTAAATAAATACCAAGAAAGGAATTTGTTTTCTAGCTACTCCTGAGCAATCTCTTAACCTCTGCTGCATTTGTTACCATGGGATCTCTCTTTTAAATACCCAATGTGTAACACAGAAGACTCCATTTTGTTGTATTTGGAAATGAAATTTCATTTTTTAACATGATTTGTCCCTCCCAGGTTGGATTGCAAAGCAATTTGTCTGGCACACCTCTGACTTTTCCCTGTTACAACACAGGCGTCCTTATATTCCCCTCCGGGAGAAACCCACGTGAGACCTTTTCCTGACTATGAAGAAAAAAATGCTAACACACTGACCTGAACCTTTTTTCTTGCATCCTGTGTATACACCTACAAATCTAGTGAAAATGTTGAAGATCCTGAGGAGTAGTGTGTGCGTTGCTTCCTGCTCCATTTATTTCAAAACCGAATTGTGCAAATCCATTTTATATTTCACCTTCTGGCCTGGCCAATGCCGTTTAAATGTGCCACACGCTACAGGAGACCGAATGAAGTGGAGGAGGTCAGCAAGCTGTGCTCAGATTAACCGGGCATGTTTCCTCTGCCTTAACCTCACACCCTGAAAGCAGGTGACATGTTTTGCGATTCTTGGTGTTTTATCGGGGGTGTTTTTTTGTAGTGCCAAGGTTTTTTTTGGGGGGGGG